AGCTACTTTTCTCGAGCCCTGATTAAAATTAGTGGCATTGAGTGATGAATCGGCAGCACATAATACAAAAAAATATAAAACGTTATATAATAGTAATCCAGAGGGAAGAACTGGAATTTCAGACTGGAAGAACAATAGAAAATGTAGAACAATCAGTATCAATATGGAATTCTTTCTTTGAATTTTCCATTTATTGTCAATAAAAGTGTGCTCACATAATTAAGTCATTCTGTTTGAAACGGGTAAATTAAAATTTTTTCGCCACAATGTACATCAATATTGTTCTTTTTTGCTAAATTAAAGTTATTTTTAACAAAATTTGTAGTCATCGTCGTCATGGGCAAAACTAAAAGCACAACTTCAAGCGAAAGAAGGGTCATATGGGAATGTTTTCAAAAATATCAAAATATTGCCGAAGTTGTAGATGTTTTAGGATTTTCTCGAGGAAAAATTAATAACGCTGTTCAGTTTTATAAAAAAAATAAGACTTTTGAAAATTTACCGCGTAGAAAGCCAAGAAAGACCCGTTCTGACGATAGGGCCTTGGTAAGGCTAAGTAAGGCTGATCCATTTTTAACCTACACAGAAATTAGGGCTCAATTAGAGGAATACCACAGCGTACAAATATCTGCGCAAACTAAGCGAAGACAACTACAAGAAAATTCATTGGATGGCCGTTTAGCAAGACGAACACCTAACGTTTCAAAAAAAAAAAATATTGAAAAGCGAAAAGCGTTTGCTAAAGACCATCTCTGGGAGGACTCTAAATTTTGGAATTTGGTGGTTTGGCGTGACGAATCCAAATTTAATGTATTTTTTAATGTTGGGAAACCATATGTAAGACGACCGCCTTTGCAAGAACTCAATCCCAAATACACTAAAAAAACCGTGAAACATAGCGGTTCATCGGTGATGGTGTGGGGTTCATTCACGTCATCAGGCGTTGGCCCGATTGTTAAAATAGACGGGAAAATGACAGGTGAAATGTACAAAGGAATACTGGAGAACAATTTAGACGGTGATTATGTGGACAACTTACCGTTAGCTTGGATTTTCCAGCACGATAACGACCCCAAACACTGCTCGCGGGTCGGTAAAACTTGGATACGTAGTCGAAATAATGAAATTCTGGATTGGCCAGCTCAAAGTCCGGACCTAAACCTCATAGAAAACCTATGGGGGATTATAAAAAGAGCCGTAGCTGCACGAAAACCTCGCAAAAAAGATTCTTTATGGTAAATAATACAGGCAGAGTGGTACAAAATAAGTCCCGCTCAATGTGCTACTTTTGTCCAAACAATGCCTAAGCGATGTACTGAGGTGCTACGTAATAAAGGTTATCCAACTAAGTATTAGTCTTAGGTAAGGTAAAACTGCAAAAAAATTTCGTATACTTCGAATAACTAAATTTTTCTTTAGGTGACTTAATTATATGAGCACAACAACATTGATGGGCTAAGCGAATGAACGCAATATTTTTGTTATTTTAGAAGTTAAATAAAAAATAAGTATTCTGTTTTGAACTGAATTAAAATTTCTTCAATTTTTTGCAAAATTAAGTTTCGTTTCTGTACCATAAAAGTTGCTTTGAATAAACTTTCGTTCTGTTACTGGCGTGACTTAATTATGTGAGCACAAGTGTAGTTCAGCGAATTAAAAGACAGCAGCTGCGCGGGCTAGGTCATGTTGTCCAAATGGACGAAAACACTCCAGCTCTGAAAGTATTCGACGCTGTACCCGCCCGGGGGAAGCAGAGGAAGAGGAAAACCTCCAATCCGTTGGAAAGACCAGGTGGAGAAGGACCTGGCTACGGTTGGAATATCCACTTGGCGCCACGTAGCGAAAAGAAGAAAAGACGGGCGCACTGTTGTTAACTCGGCTTTAACGGCGTTAAAGAAGAAGATGTAGTACAATTCACCCCGGCGCAAGCAATGATTCTATCCTAATCAAACCTATCCGTTGATGGTGTTTACGCTGGTTCCAAGGTAGACAAAATTATCTTCTACTTCAAAGTTATGACTGTCAACAGCGACGTGAGAGCCTAGTCGCGAGTGCGACGACTGTTTGTTTGAAGGCAGGTGATATTTCTTCTTGCCCTCGTTCACTGCCAGACCCATTTGTTTTGCTTCCTTGTCCAGTCTGGAGAAAGCAGAACTAACAGCACGGGTATTGAGGTAGATGATATAGATATCATCGGCATACGCCAGAAGCTGTACACTCTTATAAAAGACGGTACTTTCTCTATTTAGTTCTGCTGCTCGAATTATTTTCTCCAGAAGCAGGTTGGAGAAGTCGCACGATAGGGAGTCGCCTTGCCTGAAACTTCGTTTGGTATCGAATGGTAAGGAGAGGTCGTTCCCGATTCTGATGGAGCTTTTGATGTTGCTCAACGTCAGTTTACACAACCGTATTAGTTTTGCGGGGATGCTCGATAGAACCTTAGATGCGATGTTGAGGAGGCTTATCCCGCGGTATTTGGCGCAGATTGGGGGGTCTCCTTTTTTGTGGATTGGACATAGCAAACTTAAATTCCAATCGTTGGGCATGCTTTCGTCCGACCATATTTTACAAAGAAGCTGATGCATACTCTTTGTCATGGATGACGTTGTGCGTTCACTGCCATTCAGCAGGCTGGAGAAGTGTTCCCTCCATAATGTAAGATGCTCTGGGCATCGGTGACTAGATCACCTTTGGGGGTTCTACAAGAGTATGCTCCGGTCTTGAAACCTTCTGTAAGCTGCCTTATTTTTCGTAGAATTTTCGAGCATTACCCCTGTCGGTCAGCTTATCAAGCTCTTCGCACTCACGCATTTCGGCCTCTTTCTTTTTCTGTCTGCAAATGCGTCTCCCATCCCATCCTGCACTTGTTATGGTCGATCGTAACGTTGCGAGGTAGGCAGCCTGTTTTCTCTCCGCTGCGACACTTCACTCCTCGTCGTACCAGCTGTTCTTTTGCAATTTCCGAAAACCAATGTTTTCGGTTGTAGCTGTACGGAAGCAGTTTGAAATGCCGTCCCACAGTTCCCTTATACCGAGTTGTTGACTAGTGCTCTCAGAGAGCAGGAGTGCAAGCCCAGTAGAAAATCATTCGGCTGTCTGTTGAACGACGAACCTTCCTTATGTTTGTTGGCATGCGACAGCCAGGTAGCTTGATGAATTTTCTTATGCCGGAATCTAGTAATACAGATAATCCTATTTCGGGCCCCGCCGAAGTCGATCAGTCTCAACCAATTTGGGGATGTTTCTTTGTGAAGGCTGAATTTACCAACCGAAGTGCCACAGATACCTTCATTGCCCACCCTGGCGTTGAAGTCGCCAAGCACGATTTTGACATCGTGGCGGGAGAAACTCATAGGCATATTTGGTCACATCGTCCTTCTCTTCCGTCGAATCGTGGACGCAAATCAGCAATATGTTCAAGAACCTCGCTTTGATGCGGATTGTGGCTAGATGCACATTCACCGGAATGAGTGATAGTACTCGGCAACAGAGTCTCTCTCTCCCACCACGAATCCCACATCTAACTTGCCCTCCTTTATATGGCCACTGTAGTAAATACCACAAGGACCTACTCGCCTCTGCCATTGTCTCGTCCATCGAATTTCTTGAACGGCGGTGACATCAGCCTTTATTTTCACGAATATATCAACCAGATGGGCAGCGGGACCTTCCCAACTTCCCATGGTCGTCATCAAAAGGGGAATCTCTCATCCGAGGCTTGTTGTTCCTTTTCATTGGTATGATTTTTTACGTGGCGGGTCCCAAACCCATCGCGCAACCCTATGTAGGGGATGTTTCACCTTCTCACTTTAACTCGCCTTCAAACAGATGTTCTTACGTTACCCAGGGGATACTTGGTCAAAGACCGGAAGTCGTGAGCTGCTGTAAAATAATCGCTTCCTCCTAAGTGAATGTCGATCAGAGAACTTTCCTCACTTGCTTAAACTTCCAACTGTCATCAGAGCTACATTAGCTCAATCAAAACATTTTATTACTCCTGAGATTCCGAATTTTCACACAAAGTGAAGCTCCTTATACAAACAAAACATTAATATCGGTGTTCTTTAAAACTGAAAGTTCATTCGAAACTCCAGCGAAAAATCGAAGACTTGTTGCAAACTTTATTAAACTAAGTAGGGTTCTCTTTACATGCTTACTTCATTGTTTAAAACAAATCTGAAGCAATAATAAATTATTTCAAGTAGAAACGTTTTAACAATACTGTTGCATCATTACTGGATGTAATTTAAAAATAAATTTCCATACTGTTTATTTAATTGTAATAGACAAATACTTATATAATATTATAACGCCTTTGGAAGAATAGTTAAGCTATTATATAATATTTCAATAAAATAATTGAAAATTGCTTTAAAAATATTTAAATTACCAAATGCTTTCAGACATCATAAAATTTGTGAGGAAATTGTGAGCATTTGTGCTATCGAAATCACCTCAGCATACGGAAAACCTCACAATAGTGATTTTGGTAATTTTTGTGAGGGTATGAGAAAAATAGAGACCAGTAGGAGAGCTTTATAAGATCAATATTTATGACGCAAAATTTTGGCTTTATTAAACCAACTGTCGTGATATTCAGTGGGGGAAAAAATTTAAGTTAATCCACATTTCTCTAAAAAATACCGAAAAAAATATATTTTATTTATGGACGATTTAGCGTTAAATATGTATGGCAACAACACAATAGCGCTGCTGAGAGAGAACTAAGAAAAGAGTAAATGTTTAAGCAGAGCGTTTGACAACAGCGCAGAACTCCTTTCGAACACTGCAATTATTATGTACTCAACAATAAACCTTATGGGAATTCTCTCTTATACACACAAATTAAGCTTTCTCTCTCTTCTTTACACCTCTGACTTGGGAAGTAGATTACGCACTCTTTCTGATTTTGATTAAAAACTGAAAAAAACTGTAGTTATTAAATATACACACTGACATGGAATTTGCGCAGTTCACTTCTCGGCGCTGAAAATTTACTGAGGAATAGCATCGAGCAGTGAGAGTTCGCCGTTGCGATTCGAAGTTTAATGAACGAGTACGACTACCGGCCTCATTGGCGCTCTAAGCTTTTGGACTATAAAGCTATAGAATTCATTATAATATATTTTTGTGACAGATATAAAAGTACGGCCTACTCAAGCGGACCAGACTCTTACAAAGTAAATCAAGCAATACGTTATAAGCAACAAAACCTGATCTATGTTACATTGAAAGACACATACATATGTAGATATGTACACCGAAACAAAGTTAGGTTTGCAGCGCTCCTGATTGCTATTAAAGTCAAATGCATCTACAACCATCAAACGGTTGCCTATATCGGAAGCAATAGAAGTGGAAATTCAAAGCAGTTCGTGGGCTGTGCTTGTGTTTTGCGCTCGTAAGAATCTGTGCAATGTTAAAATTTGTAACTTTTAGAATTTCTATGTGCTAGTGGTTTTACGAAAATTCATTATAAGTTCGACATTAGAGGATAGATATCAACTCCGGGATACCGAATGTCTTTGTCAAAATTTCATATGCATATGTACTTATATTAGGTGTGTTTTATTTGAACAGTAAATTAAGCTATTAGTTAGTTAGTGAAAATGTAAACAAACCAAAATTACAAAATTTTGAGTTTTGTTTAAATAAAATKAATACAAATATGAACATTTGTTATATTTTTTTGTATTAATATCATCAAATCAACAAAAAAATATTTATATAGTAATTTAATATTCCTTTTACAATTTGAAGAATTGAAGATTGAATATCAATTGACAATTCCCGAGCGCATTGCCAACACACATCGTTTTTAAGCGAAAATATGAAATAAGTGCGTTTTATTTGTCCATGATTTGGCTATTAGCTTGTAATGACTAAATAAAACACGCTTATTAAAAGGTTAACCAATACAACAGTAACGTTATTATTACATTAGAAGACACTAAAGTTGGCAAACAACGCAACTTACACCGTAAAAGTGACAAAGCTAGCTTCCTAGATATGAGAACTGACTACTAATAGCCGACAAGTCAGCGATGCATCGTAACTGTTAGTAATCACAGACTAACAGAGCGGAATAGCTTTTGCACATAAAAAATGGAATGCGAAAGTAACGGAGGATAAATAAAACATAATCACACTGCAATAAGCGGGTGGTTGACCCAAAGACAATGCACAGACAACAACAGATCAATTATAAGAGAAATATGAGCGCTAAAGCCGTGCGCATCATGTCAGCTTTCAATTGAAAAGTTGCACTGTGGACTAATATAATATATATACACTGCTACTGAATGAAAGAAAAATCAGTTTGTATATACGTAGGCTCTTAAGTGTCAAATGTTGATAATGACCAAACTAATGATGACCATGATGATGGTGGTGTTGGGTCAGTTACTACAAAGCTCCTTGAAATATAATTCAGGTGAGTTGTTGGATATTTTCCATATAAAAAATATTATTTGTAAGATACAGATGTCGAAGAAAAGCCCCAAGGGCTTGTTAAATACAGGTACAAGTGTTCAGATATTTAGTCGGTTTAAAAATGTATACCTATAGGTAATTTAACAATTGTAATATTGTATACATATATATTCAGAACTGTGCCCAAAATAAGGTGAAATTTTATTTATTTTGAAAATTCTTTATTTATTCTTCCAAATCAATTTCATCCATTTTCCAATCTTCGCAACTCTGGTTGTAGTCACTTTCCTTGATGGCCTTCAGTTCCATCTTCGCTGCGGCTTGAATCTCCTCTATCGTATAAAAACGGTGTCCACGGAGCAGTCTTTTGAGCTTGGTGAACAGCCAGAAGTCGCACGGCGCCAGATCTAGTGAATACGGTGGTTGCGGAACGATATGGGTTGAGCTTTTGGCGAAATTATCACGAATGACGAGGGCAGCAAGGGATGGTTCATTATCGTGGTGTAAAAACCAAGAATTGTCTATCCACAATTCCGGCTTTTTTAGGCGGATAACGTTACGCAAACGACGCATAACATTCAAATAATATTCCTTGTTGTCTGTTTGACCGGTTGGAAGGAATTCATAATGCACAACACCACGATAATCGAAGAAAACAGTCAAAAAATTCAATGTTTTCGGTACCAGTCGAGATTTGATGCACTTGAGGCCCAGAATATTCTTCAAAATGGTATTGGCGAGTCGAGATTTGATGCACTTGAGGCCCAGAATATCCTTCAAAATGGTATTGGCTAAGCCTTCCGATATGCCAACTTCATCAGAAGGTCTCTAATTGTTAATCGACGGTTTTTCAACACCAAATCTTTGATTTGTTGAACGTGAGCCTCGTCGGTTGCGGTTGATGGTCGCCCTGGACGCTCTTCGTCTTCGACACGTTCMCGGCCGGCTTGGAACTCACTATMCCACTTGTAAACATTTTTTTTTTAGACATAGCTTCATCACCTAAGGCTTTCAGCACCATCCTCAACGTACCCGCAGCACAAAATTTAATGCAAATTCTTTGCTCAACAAATTTCGACATCGCAAAACGAAAAACTCACTTTTAGTAGCTCACAAAACGACACGTATCTCAAAGACTAATGAATATTTTGACATGAAATTTGACACAAATGTGACTGACAGTACTACCAACCTATAAATAAACAAATAATTCTCCGAATCCTTCGACGCGCGCAGTTTAAATTAAAATGTCACCTTATTTTTTGGGCACAGTATACATACATATGTCCTAAGGAGCAACCAAGATATATGAAATTCTTTTGGAAATTAATAACTGTATTTGATAAGCCAATACTTGAAAATATAATATAAAAATCAAATCACTGACGATTAAGACATAAAAGACAAGAAATGGTTTAAAAATAATATAGGCTTTCTATCCGACTAATTATTTTCATACTGTTGCAACCTTTTGTTGTAGAATATTATAGTTTTGTTCATTTAACGGTTGTACGTATCACATAAAACTTAGCAAAACATATGTGTATATAGAAATGATCAGGATGACGAGAAAAGTAGAAATCCGGTTGACTGTCTGTTTGTCCGTCCGTCTACTTGTGCAACCTATAATTTGAATAACAACTGAAATATCTTGATAAAACTTGGTATGTGCGCTCCTTAGTACAAAAAAAATTATGAGTTCGTTGATGGGCGCAATCGCGTAGCCACGCGACAAATCGCCATTAACCGAAAACATTGTGAGTATAGTGAGATAACTAAGCACTCAATTAAGATATAATTGATAAAGTGGATCGCAGTAGCAAAGAACATTTGTGGACAAAATTTTTTGAAAAAGTGGTTGTGGCCCACGCCCCCAAACAAATTTAATGTATGTACATATCTCTTAAGCCACTGAACCTACAATCAAATTTGCTAAGTGCAAATTTTATAAGAACTTCTATCGATAGTGTGAAAATTGATGAAATCGGTAGATAACTCCGCTAACTGCCCATGAAACGGCACTGTTAAAAACTACTAAAAGATCGATAAATCAATAACTAAATACGCCAGATACATAACATTCTATCACCGAGATGGTGTGAGAGAGCTTTATGGGAGTCGCTGTGAAAATCGGATCGACGACGATTTGGCTATGATTTCGATGTTAACTACCGAAGCAGGATAATACGAGTCCGTTGGCTGAATCAAAGGATCACATCGGACAACAGAGAACATTGAAGCGTTATCAAAGTAAACCAGATCTAAGAACTTACCAAACTCGATTGAAATTAAATTAATTTGGTTAAGACCCAACTCTGACATTTCATCTAAGAACTCGTTAAAACATGTGCGAGTACTAATAGGAATAATGTGCATATTTCTTAAACCGCTTAAGCTACAACATTTGCTCAGCGCGAATATTACAAAAGCTGAATAAAATCGGATGAAAATCACGTTCACTCCACCTATAGCGGTCCACATCTTAAGACCCGACTAATCGACTTCGACAAAATTTAGTACTTGTCTTTTTTTTATATTATTATGTCACTTTGTGAAAATGAGTGAAATCGGGCAATAACCACCCCTACTTCCCATTTAACACAATTTTAAATTCCATTTGATTCGTTCAGTTGCCAGTACGCAAAACAAAAAGCAATAAATATAACGTGATTAAACTTTGCACTAATAATTAGTGTATGGCAATCCAAAAAAACTGTTCACGCCCCTAGGTACAAAATATTTAGACCCCGGTACCTACCGTTAACTTTTGTTAGAAAATATCGGTTAATGCCAGAGATACACTATATAATTGCAATTCAGGATAGTACTTCTCTGACAGTGGTATGTCAGAAATGAGTTCAATCGGACCAATACTTCCCTTAGTCTCCATATATCTAATATAAAAGTAATTGAACTTTTAGGTAACTTTTTTACCGCATATATCGGCCAATAAGTGCGTTATCTCAATGAAAATGAGCTAACGTGTTTTAATCATAACAGTGTATCTTTGTGCGAAAAAATTGAGCGAAACTTGACTTACTCCCCATATAAGTAATACTGAACATCCGACTGACTTTACTCAATAATATAGTCTATATGATTAATTTAAACATGTTAGCAACAGGTAGTATTGAGTCGATACCCCCGTTACCACCGTTAAGTATTACGTCAGGAGAATGGTTGAGTGACACCCATGCGTATGTGATGGTCAAAATACATTCAGTTACAAGTTGCATTTACTTGGCCCCGCCTCTGTTGGTCTGATAACCTTCCTCATACAATGTTCGCCGCCAACCCTTCCCGTCACTCCAATGTTAATGTGTTTGAGTTGTGGTTGTTTGTTAAATTTATCAGCTCTCTTCTCCGCCGCTGTTCGCTGGTACGTTAGAATTTTATAACCCTAGCTGCAACTCCGTAAGCAGCTTTCCACTTCTCCACTGATTCGACCATTTGGTTTACCAAGTTATCGGGAGTTGGGTCTACAAAGACGCATATTTTAAGTATTGCCTCTCATGATTATAATATATTTTTTTGTCAATAGAAGAATGTGTGTTCAACATTTCCACATATCGCCTCCACACATAATCACATGTGTCGTTATTTTTGTGTAAGAATCTTTTCTAATACCTCACCGTGCGGTCTATTTAGCCATGGTTCAACGTTGGGGCAAGTGGGAATGGGTTTTAGCCAGGGATTCACTGTATCTGCCCGTGCGATTCCTTTTAGTGTATTGTGCGGTAACCTGTAGAGCGTACTCGCGCGCAAATGACATATATACATATTTGGAAAAAAGGTCACGGCGATATGATTTTATTTCGAGAACTTTTCCCCATATCTGGGGGCGCTACATTTAAAAAGTCCTGTTTACTTTAGAACGCACCTTGTATATCACACATTGACTGACATTTTCGATCAAAAGTCAACTATATGTATGTACCGGGGTCTAAATACTCGGTACCTAGGAGCTTGAACAGTTTCAATTGGTCATAAGGTGGCACACACTAGAGAAATTATTCATGCAAAGTTTTATCCCGTTTTATTAATTGTTTCATGATTTATGTCATGGAAACTAAACGAATCAAGTGCTATATGGAAAATGGGTACATAGGAATGCCACGGACTAAATTTTTTTGAAATTTGTTTGGTCGGGTCCCGAGATATGGGAATTTCACCAAAAAAGTGGGTGTGACCACGCCCATCGTACTTTTTTTGACACTGGCCACCGTAGGACTCTCTCAGACCATCTCGGAGGTAAAATTTAATGTGGCTGACGTGTCTAGTTATTGATTTATTGCGCTTTTAGTGGTTTTTAACAGTACCGTTATATGGGGAGTGAACTCGATTTCATCCATTTTTACACTGCGGGTATTTAGAAGTTCTTATAAAATTTGCGCTTAGCAAATTTGGTTTTTGTAGCTTAAGCGGTTTAGGAGATATGTACATAAAACTTATTAGAGGGCGTGTCCATTCCCACTTTTTAGAAATTCTTAACTACAGGTGCCCCTTGACTTAAAAGTAGGTAGCAGGTAGTTCACCTTTGGTTTTAATACATATGTGCTCTGCTTAAAATTTTTGTCGTTTCTTCTTATTTGAATCAAATTCTTTGCTTTGCGCCGTCTGTTACMATTTTCAGAATTTTTTAATCACTTTAAAAAATAGCATCAATATTAAAAAAAARTTAAATAAAAAACATTAWCCGATTTCRTACCAAYTTAATTTCGAATTTARAAAMTWAAGAATTCTTGCACCTTTTGTGAACTTAGTATAGTATTTGTTGGGTCGCCGATTGTGAACAAGTGCATACATTGACCATATATTCTTATGTATTTATTGCTATTTCTACTTATATGTCTATTTGAAGTCATTCACTTCAATCCAGTTAACGATTGTATTTGCATTGTGTTTGTTTGCGTTTGCTTTGTACACTTTTACTAACGCTATGTTTCACTCACGCAGTTATACGTATGTTTGTTTGTGCCTTAAGCTTAACATGTAAGCAAC